AGTGTGACCTTGGCTTAAGCCTACCCAACGAATAGCGAGGAAGTGAGTCACTAGAGCGCACACTCCGGCTCAAAAACAAAGGCTACTACGAAGTTAGGAAGCAAGAAAACATAGTTATAAAAAAAAGATAAAAAAGGGCTATGCCGGGAACGGCGTGGTTCCCAGAAAACGAAACTGAAGCTCGGGGCCATGGCCGCCGGTCGCAGGCTGCACGCATTCCCGAGACCTCCTGCTGGCCGCCTTGTGGCCTGCCCAACCCTTGCGACGGCTTTTTCCCCAGCTGGAGAAGAGACGCGTACATGCCCTCCTCCTTCTTCGCGCCTTGGCGGTTTCTTGCCAACACGACGACTGCCTCGTCCTCCCTCTCCCAAAGCGCCTTCTTGCTTTCCCCCTGGCGTAGCGTTGTGAAGCAGTGTTGTTTGCAGAACGCGTCCTGTAGAACCGGAAGTAGCCTACACAGACGGCTGTTTTCGCGGCCGCGCAAATGAGCCAAGGGGAGAGCGCTCTGGGTTCGACTTTTCAAGAAGGAAAAGAATACAAGCTTGTCCGTTGCTCCAATTCCCCAGAATCGGTCGGCGTCCTTTCTTTTGTTTGTTCATTTGGCCTGGTCGCTGGCTGCCTGCCCTGCCCTAACCCCCCCCCCCTCCACCCCCCCCCCCCCCAAAAAAAAAAAGAAAAAAACTTTTATGCGACGTGAAACGAGTCTTGGCTTCAATGTTGGTGACTGGCGAAAAACCAGTAAATGATGGATTAAAGACTCCTGAAGTGGGAGATCTCGAGTGGGACAAGAAAATGCGATGCCTGTTCAAAACTTGTTTCTGTATATTCTGTTTAGAGGTTTGGCCACGAAGGGTGTAAAGTAGTGCGGCTCTGAATATCCGGGGTTCGGGCTTACGAAGAGCCTTGACTTCTTCCTGGGCTGCTCATGAGCGCACAGCTATCGATGCGCACGTCAGCGCGAAGTGAGCCTGCAGCGGACTACTTGCGCATCGCGGAGGAACAGTGGCTGGCGGTAACGAGGTTGTGATGGAAGGAGCTTCTGGCACATCCTTGCTTGTATCTGACTATCGCCGCATGCCCTTCCCGGTTAGGTCAATTAACCATGCAGGCTTTTGAACGATACCCGGTACATTGTACTCATAACTCGCCCCTGAACTTGCGCACGAAAGAGAAATGAACGGAAGACGTGTTCTGTTGCGGAGGAAGCCAGCTCCTGGACCAGAAGCGCCTCGCAAAAACCGTTTGGGAGAGAGTTATGGAGGATCGCAATAAACTTTGATCTCGGCCTCGAAAATGCGTTTCCCAGCAGCAGCAACAGCAGCAGCAGCAGCCACCACGACGATGATGATCGGTCGTTGTTCTCTAGGCGGCACAACGTCCCCGAAACAAGGGACGCGGCTTGTGCAGAAGCCAGATGCGTTCGGGCTGAAGGCCACGCTGAGTAATCAAACCGTGCTAATGGCTCATTTCTTTTCTTCTTCTTCTTCTTTTTTTTATCTAGCGTTCGCTTTGTTTTGTGCTTCTTATCTCTCCGGGCGCGGCAGTGTTATTTGTTATCCTGCGGTGGTGGTAGTGATGCTGTAAGACATCGTGGCAACCGATGTTTCCTTTTCGAGACCGTCGCGCGACTTGGGCAGGGCGGTCCAACGTGCGCAGGCTGGCTCGGAAGCCGTGTCCGGTAAAACGTAACGCTATCATCAACAGAACGTGACTTAATAGACCTTTTTCGAAAGTCACGTGCCGATTACTAGGAGGTGGGGACCACTGCTCAATGGCGGACCAACTGACATCGTGGAACGTGCAAGTCTTTCCACAAGATAGCTTACGTCGAAGCGCGGCTAACGCTAGGAGCTGACAGGCCAATTAAACAGCGTCGAAAGTGCAACGTCACTGCGCTCATCACCTTTTTCTGTGGGTATGTTCTGTGCCATCTAATCCACCCAGACGCATTAAAGTGTGCCGTGCACGTTGCGGTTTTAGTCCGCCATTGGGCAGGAATTCCACAGCTGCCAAGGGAGGGCATTTTTTCGATAGGGCGTTTTCGTATATCGTTTCCGCCGTCCCGCAACGCTTTCCGCAACCCGCTACGGGATCTGGGTCTTTTCAGGCAGGGCTAGTGGCGCGCGGGAGCAGTAACGGTATCTTCGTTGCAGATAGCATAGCGGAGGGAGGAAAGCGGTTGACAAAAACTCGCTAATAGCGAGATTTAGTAGATTGTTCCGACACCTCCCATAAGAATACCCGACACCGATACGATGCATGCGCAATGGCGTCGACAGTGTACGGAGTTTTCGTAGTTCGTAGACCGTTTTCCCACCTCCACTCCGCTCTCCGGAACGAAGACGCCACTACTGCTCATGCGCGGGGCTAACCTTGCCTGCAGAGTCCCAGATCCCGTAGCGGGTTGCAGAGAACGTGGCGTGACCGTGGAAACAATCTACGAAAACTCACTAGTGTCAGGTATCATTATCGGAAACAGCAGAGCAATCTGCTAAAACTCCCTGATATGGTGTTTCAGTAGATCGTTCTGACAACTTTGATACCGACACCGGATTGTCCGCTGACGCCTTTACGCATGAATTAGATGGCTACCTAATACCGTTAGCGGAGTTCTCGGAACAATCTACTAAATCTCTTTAACGTCGCGTTTGCTACAATTAACGAAGTTGGAATATTCTAGGTCAGGGTAGAAAAAAAGTGAAGCAATACTTTTATTCAAATTGTTAAGATGGAGGCTTGGGCGAGTTGTTGATTCATAGCAGGGAGCAGCAACGGAAGAGGAAACAAACAGAGGACCACAAAAAGATAAGCGAAGTGCCCTTTCTCTCTTTTCTGTGTCTCCCTGTCGGGTCATCGTCTTTTTGCGCTGTTGCTTTTTATTATTATTTAAAGTGCTTTGAACTTCTATATGCCAGAAACAGGGTCCCAGTTCCATCATCAATATAATCAACAAGGTGTAAGCATGTAGTGATTAAAAATGTATAGGATTATTCGTACAGAGTCACCTCATCGTCAGTCGACAGCCTACTTCTCTGCTCATCCGATCATTCTCCTTGCATCGGGGAGCAAAGCACAAACTTAAAAGAACAACCCATCTTTTTGTCTGACAGATCGTGGACTGACAAAGACAATTACTAAAACTAAAAGAAGAATCAACGTAAATTGAAACCCAAGTGTTTAGAGTAGACTGGAGTTAAGTACGCTTTTCAAGGAAGCCGTGCTTTTTGCTTTGTCTCTTGTTTCCAATCTTTACGCCGGACGCTCAGTGACTGAGCTGAGAGGTAGAAAATACTGATTAGATACCCGCGGCCTCTGCAAGTCCTCGAGAATCGCGTCTCCAGCCAACACTGCGTGATATATATTTTTTTTGTGGCCGATTCGTCAGCTGATGACAGATTTGACGACGAAAACTTGTGCATAAAGGGCGGTTTCCAGCTGCTTGACCCCCCTCGTCGAAGCCTATCGGGAAACTTGTAAGGGGCACTGCACCGGCGGAGGTTTTATCTTGGACGCACGGAGCACTCCGTAAGAAGCGCACCGCCAGCGAAAACCCCCAAAAAACGGAAAAAAAGGAGAAACGCCGGGAAGTACTATTTGAGACGTTCAAGAACCAAGTGGACAACCATGCCTTCTTTCTACTTTTGAGAGAACCGTCAGAGTCTTGTCACACAACAGTTATGTGACTCCAATAGTTCCCCTTTCATCAGCTGACCCCGCTCTCGGCGCGAGAGCAAGAATAAGAGCGTGATCACGTGGTAAAAAAAAGTGAAAGCCATTTACAACTCCCTGTAACGCCGAATTAGAGCGCAGCTCTTGAGGTGGAGGAGGAAAGGGTACTGAGGGGAGGGTATACCTCTCCCTCCTTCTCTCATCCTTCAATCTCCTCCCCTCCTCTTCCTCCTCCCCGTCCTTCTCCTTCACCTCCTCCGCCTGCCCTCATCCTTCAACCTCCTCACCTCGTCTCCCCCTGCTAATTAATTAATTAATTAATTAGAAATTTAATTTTGGCGGACGGGTACGTACCGCGTCTGGCTACTGCACGAAAGGTCTCTGGTTCAAAGCCGGCCAAGCTTCCTTGGGGGGGGGGGGGGGGGGGGAGGGGGGGGTTCACTTGACTTGGAGGGGGGAGGGGGGTCATGTGACCTCGAGGGGGGGTCACGTGACTCTCCCCCCCTCCCCAAGGTCGCCGAAGGTACCCGAGGTCCTCCCGAAAGAACCCAAGGTCCTACCGAAGGAAACCGAGGTCCTCCCAAAGGAACCCGAGGTCCTCCCGAAGGAACCCGAGGTCCTCCCGAAGGAACCCGAGGTCCTCCCGAAGGAACCTGAGGTCCTCCCGAAGGAACCCAAGGTCCTCCCGAGGTCCTCCCGTAGGACCCCGAGGTCCTGAGGGGGGGGGGGGGGGGGGAGGGAGGGGGGCTCGCGGTTACGCCGACACCGCTCAAGCCGAAAACGGGCGCCTAAGAGCTCCGCTCTGAAACAGACGTGCAACTAATCCAACATGCACGTAGCTTCTACCGCAGCTACACCTGGTTTCACCTTACGATTAACCGCAGCGGACTCTACGAGCCATCACGTCCAATCCAATGCCGCGTGGGTATCACGTGACCCTCGGAAAGGGTACAGTCACACACGAGGAGTGTGGTCACGGGGTGCGTTTGCACAGTTCGATTATTTGGGATGACTCGTAGCGTTCACTGCGGTCCATCGCAAGGTGAAACGGAGTAAGTCAGCGCGGCCGGTGGCCAAAAAGGGCAACTTTGGGTAGGCCATGCCACCGAACGATAGGGCACGAGCGCTGCGGCGATGTTCGGCAGGGCATAGTTTGCGGCCGTGGGTTGTCTCGAAGTTGCCATTTCTTTTCATTAGATGGCTCTACCTGTTAAACCAGACTTCATTGCCTGGTCCAAGATTTACGACCTCTACGGCATGAAGAAGGGCTCGTGCTCAGCAAGAACCGACACAGCCATGAAGACTGCTGATGCAAAAGGGAGGCCACTCACCCTGAGGTCGTCCTTGTTGACGGAGTAGGCTGTGTACATGCACAGCCTCTCCAGAGTGAGCGGCTTTGTTTGCCGGAACTTGGAGGCGAGGAGCATGCACGCTGCCCCCGTGAGCTGGAGCTGACTCTTCCGAACCGACTGGACGGACAGAAACCTATCGAGGCAGTTCATGGCCAGCGGGTAGACCTCAGCACGACACTGTTCTTCTTCGCACACCTGTAAGACACGAAGAACGAGAGGACCAGAGTTAGGGCACGCCACCCGTATCTTTGTCCCTAGTCCTTTTGGGACAGGGGTGCCCCAATAAAAACTGGGAGTTTTTATGAGACGTTCTCCTTTTTCCGCCACGCCGTCCGCAACGGAGACGCGGCGCATGAACGTCATCTTGTAGGGCATTGCAGAAAGTGTTGCGTGACGACATCCGTTGACTGTTCGTGACACAGGCAGTCAGTCAACTATAAAACTATAGTTGTCTGTGCGTGGGCAAGCGCTTCTTGTTCATTCTGTTAAGTAGAGCCGTTTCGACCAACTGGCTTTAGGTGCTTTGTCTTGGATCCCTGGGCAACATATACTTAAAGCTGACCATTGACAGATATCTGTCTGGTTGGGCAAAAGCAAAAACAGTGCTATCATTTTTTTTCTTATGTTTAAGCGGCATTATTAACCTTAAGGAGCGTATTTAGAAACAAGCGATAGAAAGGATTACTAACGTTGTGAAAGACCATTTGCATTGTTTGGGAAAAGAAATCTGTCATCGTCGAGCTTTAGGGACGAGGTAGTTATCTCAGGTTAACTTCAATTGAAATCGTTTGTTAGTACTGTTTATTATTTAATACTGAAAAATTACTTGATTGCGTTCCCGGCGATCATTTTTAGAGATAGACACCTGTCAAGTCGAGGAAAACTGGTAGTATCCACAGCTTCAGTGAAGCATCCAGCATCAGCATGTGAAGACACACAGATTAGGACATGGGGGGGGCTTTGATGTGATTTGATCTAGAGATAAGATCCCATTTTGCGTACACGTTTCAAAAACCATGGCCTGTGTTTGTTCCAAAAACCTAACATCTCCAGTACAATCGAGTTTCTAGTGCATCGTATCCATTCACAAATTTATCAATTTTCTTCCGGTATAGGGTGGGTCACATCTTGTTCACTCTCGGTGCTGTAAACATTGAACGTGTGGCGTTCTAAGCACGAAGTTCTGAAGTGCCGGCCTCAAACAGAGATTATGGATACGAAAAGTTAAAATTGGAAGTTTCTCGTGTAATAGGCCAAGATGGACACGTGAATAAATTTGGCTGACATATCGGATTTGCGCGGTGGCTTGCGACACCTATCGAGTGTTTCTTAATTCCAAATCGACAGTTTAAATACCCAAAATGAAGGTATGCCCTCTGCCAGTGAAGCTGGTGCATTTTTTTATTAGCTTTTAGCATTAGAATTTTTAAGAGAGGAACGCCTCTAAGCAATCGGTTGCGAAACAGGGCACAAACTTCTGCCGTAGTATGGAATTATTTTTTTTTTGTAGCGCTATAGCGTTGCATTTTCGCCAAAATTGCTGGCATCGTAAGTAGCCTGTGTGATCCGATTACTTATTTAAAGATAAGAAAACAATTGTTTACTCTTGAAACAACGTTATCTCCTCAAGGTTAGTTTAGGTCTTAGCAAAGTAGTCACAACGGCACTCTTTTCTAAGCTAACTCACTCAAAACAAGATGTCTCTTCAGACAAGTGCGTCATTTTGTATAAAATAATTTATGGAGAGACGATATGAAGTCAAGACATGTTTACGTTCTGTCACAAAAAAAAAGCGCAATTTTTTATTGTTAGCACGTCTTTTCTATGCACCTTTATTTTTCATTGTTCGTTTAAAGTAGTGTTTTCTCTTTACCAGATATTGTTAGCTTTCTTATCTCTGGTCGCCAGAGATAGTAACGTACTCTTTTTGGTAATTAAAAAAAACACGCAAAAAAAAAAAAAGTGCGAGAGGACAAACACACCGTAGGCAATAACTGCTATCCCAGAATTACGATCATTTGGAGCAAAGACAAAAGCCACGCTGTATTCGAGTATATTCTTAGATAGCTAGATTCAAACAGGTCGTTAACAGAACGTAGTGTGCTAAAAGCGAAGCTACGAAGAACAATAAAATATTATAAACGTCTACAGGTACGGCCTCTGGTCGCCGCCATCTTGCTTCTGGCGTGTGTAGATTGTCGGATAATCATTCCTGGATGGAAGCTAATGGCAGTAGCCTTCATGACGGGCGGTAGCTTGCGCCACCTAGACTAAAAACCAAAAGTGCGATTCATCCCCTAAGGCTAAAGATTTCCCACGGTCTCCAGAGTGAAATCCAAACCAAGTATTTACCATCCACGGTAACAAGGCTAATTTAAAACCGTGGCTCCCTGCAAGCGTCTATGGGGGTATTCATTGGTGGCCGTAGCTGTGTGCGCGACTGCTGAGCGCGTGCTGGTGGCGAGCTTCCAGAGTTCTTTTGCAACGTGCATTCCACACCATCAAGAGTGCCGGTCTTAGCAGTTTATCAATGTGAACTCGTTCTGAGCATGCGCTCTAAACAGTACCCACAAATGTTGCGTCCACTGAATACACCCTATTAGCGGCGAGATGTTTCGGTGGCGCCCTCGGTTACCTTTCGTGACGTCATGACCTTGTGAACAACAAGTTCGATGGTGTTTGTAATGGACATGGTGGAAGCTTGAAATCATAGCGCTCTCAAAGGAACACTGCCAACACCGGCAAAATTGATGTTCTTGCATTCCTCTTGTTTCCGTCGATGAGACATCCTTTGCTGACGTCATAGTCAGCATTCGGCCAATTGTGGTAGGCCGACCACACCGACGCTTTTGATGGCTCACATCGCCAATATAACGCTTATTTATGACGGCTGCCATGTTGAATTATGACGTAGCTGGGCTGGGGCAAAATAGCAATTCCCTTCATTCACTAAGTTCCAACTGAAAGGCGCTAGAATTCAAGGATCTCCGGCCAATAATTAAGACTTTTTTCTTTGCTACATTTTTTTATTGTTATAATTATGCATAAACTATTTATCTGTCATTTTGCATTTCCGAAACATCAGAAGTTAAGCACTCAGATGCATAATTCCTCTGAACTATTTGCCAAAGCTGCAGGTAGTGGAAGTCACTATTGAACGCTTACCGCCCTTACACTGCTGGACTTTTCATAAGCTTCCATTTGTAAAGCATTCGTTAAATCAGAATAGATAAATCCATTTCGAGCAGATTGTTTGCATGTGATTATATTTTGAAGTTATGTATATAAAAATATAAACATGAGGTTTTCTTGAATTACGCTTCATATTCTAAAGATATGACCTGTTTGATACAGGGTACTTACACGCATGTGATGCGTTTATGTCTTTACATATGTGAGCTGTGATTCCGGTATTTGTCGAGCTATAGCGTCCCATTATAGACGACGCACCAATGTTATAGCCACAGGCCAGTTTTAATGAATACTCAACACTATACGATATGGACCAAAATTCTGGCATCTTCCATTCAAATGCCACTCAGCGTTTTAAGCGGCTTTAATGCTTGAGACAGCAAAAATGTATTTAAAATTACTCAGAGATAAAAATAAAAACAGGTGCTAGCCAATAATCCCAATAACACCCAACTCCAAATTTGGTTTAAAAATGCCCAGAGAACGCCAAATGAGTGGGCCTTAAAATAGCGCGTTATATCGTACTAATAAATAGCAGGCCATAACTGATTTAAGGAGTTCCCCCCGCCTATCTGAAACTCCATCCCGATACGGAACCGTAGGTGTAAGTCAGACGATACTCGTCTGCCCCTCGAGTATCGCTGAATCGAGTAAAAATCTAAACCGCAAGCGAAAAAGAAAAAAGAAGAGGAAGCGCACATCCGCTAACATTACGTTAACTAAAACACGGACTATCCAGTTTCACTTGGCGAGCGAAACGCTTTTTTTTTTTATCTTTACCAACTTTACTGCTAGAAAATGCAGCGGAACGAAATTAGACGGTTAGCTTGAGAGTCAGACCGGTTTAAAGAAAGAACAAACTAAACAAGAAACAAAGAAGCTAACTGGACGAGGCGGATGGAAATTTTTATTAACCAGCGACCTCCACAACACTCGGTCAAGTTTGATCTTATTCCCAAGTCCAAATATCTCTCGAGTGAAATATTTCGGACCGCCAGTCTGTTAGAGAACGGACAAGAACTATTCGAGTCATCTCACGAGACAAAGGAAGAAAGAAAAAAAAATATCCATTATCGAGAGTATAAGTCTGTGGCGGCTTCCCATTGGACGCCGCGGCGGTCCAATCGGAAGAGCCGCATATCTTAAAAAAAAAAAGTAAAAAAAAAAAAAAAAAAAAAAAACAATATTGAACACACAAGGATGAAGAGGCGGGAAAAGCCTCCTTCCCGCCAAACGTAACTTGAACGGAATTTGATGCGGAAAATAACAATGACAACAACAGATTATCAAACGCAATGATTTCGAGAATGCGGGCTACTACAAACAGGTTTCCTAGGAGAAATATTTCGGAGATTCCCATTTGCACGACTCTTGAAGACTAATACCGAATGGCCTAAACTGACCCTAACCCTATCTCAGAGGTAGACTACGTGTCACATCGATAGCTGCGAGCTCGACAGACTTGCTCGGTCACGCCTTTGTTCATTTCGGCCGCAGTTACCTTTAAAATATCCGATGGAACGAATCAAGCAAAGTCTCGTGCGACCGCCACCATTGACGTGACCAATCACGCAGTGAATGTGGCATGATTGTGCATTTTTTTTTATGTGCGTGGTTGGTTTTTAGACGGTGAAACGCACAAAGACCACGATCTCTGTGACTATGCACTATTGGCACGGCTTGATTGGCTCCATCGGACGGAATAGAGCAGCCTCCCATCGGATGGTGAGCCCGGCCTTGGACATCAAGCCTCATCTCGGAGGAAGGGCGCTCCGAAAGACTGACAAGAGTGCGAAACAATGCTCGCAAGAGTGCTCCCTTTCTTTTTGTTCTTTTTACTTTTCTATCTGGACTATCCCACGGTCGAAAAGACGCCCAAGGAATGTCCCGACCGCGATAAGGAAAGCTCCTGCCGTCGTGTTGGCGACACCGAAGCTCAGCAGTCTTCACTATCTACGTATATCGCACCTGTTCTCTTCTCACCTCAAACGCAGTTTTCCCACTCGAAGTGTCAGTCGAACCATCCAGCGGTGGTTCGCCCAGTACAGTTCTTACACCTGTCAGTAAAGTCGAGCTTCCTACTGATATTACACACACAAAAAGGGGGGGGGGGGGGGGATGCAGTATTAGGTGTGGTCTTTCGATAGGCCTACAAAACTACACCTAAGACGAAAAAAATGGCGACTGTTCTCTAAAGGAATTACGACGAAACCACGCCATTGTTCCATGTCAAGTCGATAAAGTGTAGACGAGTCCTTCATGATCTACGATGGAGATGGGAGACTGAGGAAACTAACGGAAAAAAAAAAAAAAAAGGAAGGACAGCGCGGAGTAGCCACGGCGGTTAAGTCAGGGCCAACATCTCCGTCAGTTTTTACATAATAAAGAGAGACAGAAAGGACGCAGTCAAATCTTTAGCGGCTCGTCTTCCTTATTACTTTTGCCCTATGGTCCGACGTTTAGAGGAACGGGTGTCCTTTTGTTTTAATAAGCTTCTTTGGGAGAGGCGTCGGTTGGGGTATATCGCATATCGGGGCGGCCGATCGCGAAGGTTATCCAAGTCGCGCGATTCCTAGAAATGGGAGTACAACTTTTTGCGTAAAACGGCGCAACGATTGCTGACCACAGCGGGAGTAGCGATGCCGACTGGCCGGAGATGCAGCTGCGGCCAAAAAGACGCAGAGACTGCTTCTTTTCGAGATAGGCCTTGATAATGAAGACAGAAAAAGGAAAGAATAAAAGCGCAAGGCCGACGGACCTCTGTCAGGGCTCGTAAAAGTAAGTAAGAATAAAACGGACGAAGTGAAGCACCGACGAGGGCCGGCAATTTATTTTGGGACGCTCGATTGCAATGCCAATGTCGAGGTGAATCCTCAATCGCTTCTTGTTCTGCGGACACTGGGTGGTCTTGGGACAAGGGGACCAACGCACGTAATCTTCGTGCTTCCCTCTTTCCAGAACGTCTGGCTTATTTCTTCGCTTCTTGAAAACATGCCTCGAGATTATTAAAACAAGTTTGTCCACATTGTTTGTAAGAGATTTATTCCTCAATGTGTTAAAATTGTTCCATTGTGCACACGAGTTAAGGCGGTGTTCTGTTCCGCAGAGATACGCTGAAGAGGGTCAATGCCAACACCGGTCCCGGCATTGCGGTAACAAATCCAAGCAGCCACTGGAGGGCAGACAGAGACCTGGGACCCAGACACCACCATAGCAAGACGTGCCGCGAACCATGCAACGGGACACATGCTGAACGGAACCAAGCCTGCGAGTTCTCACCTCCAGCATCCACTGTCCGACGGTGCGTCGCATGTTGACCGCGATCTCCGTTTGGACACAGGTGAAGTAGCGTGGGTTGATGGCGTACCTCTCCTCGGACCGTAGCAGGTTCTCGAGCACACTGGCGTCATCGAAGATTGTCGGGTCCCGGTACGAACGCATGGGACCTTCGCCCTCCGGCCGGTCCTGGAAGTCCACGTCTTGCTCCAGACACAGCAGCTCCGCCATGTTGGAAGCGCCCGCGTCCCGTAGTCGCAATCCTTCTGCTGCTGAGACACGCCGCAAAGGAAATGAACGGCCGTAATCCTTTCTTTTTCCCCGCCTTCGTTGTTTAGAAGGACACGACAGAAACACACACACGGGACTGTCTATCACAACATGGATGGAAGGCGGAAGCAGCGGGCGCTTAGGATGTTCGCGAGTGTATACCAGGACGAACAAGGACGTGGCCGCTGGTTTTGCGAGCGTACGGCGAGCTAGACGACCGGCGTTTGTGTGTTGTGTGGGGGCCTAGCCCGTCGAACTGCTCAGTTCACTCGCCAAGCGCCGAGTGAAGCCGACATCGGGATGAATCGGACTGCTCGGCTGGGATGGCGAGGAGGGGCCGAATGGAAGTGTACGTCAAGGGAGAGGGGGACCCACCACGAGACCCCGATTACGGGCTGTCCTTCTCCCCCTCTCTGTAACAACCCCCTCTTCCTCCTCCTTATCCTCCTTCGTCCGGACTCCGATCAGACCAAACGCGAAGCAAGCCACGAAGCCAGCCGACGAGAGAACAGTTGACGGCGGGAGCCCGTCGCTGACGGCGGGTGGGTCTGGTCAGGTGGCCGTTGGGATCTTTGTAGGCTAGCGAGGCAACTAGGTTCGTATGTCTTTGGTTCTGTGTGTCCTTTGTTCGCTGGTCAGATAATAGCCGCTTTTTTGAGCGATAAGGAGGTTTCTCCAGCTCGAACTCGGGCACTCTTTTTTTCTCTGACTAGTGATCCGGTTCTAACTCTGTCCCCAGCGTTGTTCGCGTGCATAGCTCGCTTTTTGTATGCAGTAGCCTTGAGAGCTCTTTGAGGATGCGGATGTACCCCAGGAGCGTTATCGGCCCTCATCTCGTCACCGTTGCCCGTACCCGATCTACCAGAATGATCAACACGAAACTGGACAGTTTCTTCATGACACATTGGCAGGAATTTGGAGGCTTCCCTTGAGGTACCCTACTCTCAGTCTCTGCTAGCTATCTACGCTGTCCTCAAAATGCATGGCCGTTGGGTGAGGCACGCGGAGGTTGCCTAAAAGCGTTAAACGCCTACAATTATCGAATTTTAGCGACCTCAAAGATACGTCATGTTGTTTAAATTTGGACGTATTTCTATTTTCAATACCTACAAATTATTAGAAAACCTGTTGACATCATGCGTTTTTTGTCTTGGTATTTTTTTTATATTGCACAAGCAATTTTGACACAATTAGGGCACCTCCCGAAGCTACGGGCGCTTGCCCTTTAGAATGCCCCGCAAAACGATTGTAATGAAGCATTGTGCAGGGTTGTGGTTTGTGAAGTGTATTCGGTTTGTCCAATCAGCTTCCAGCAGTGATCACCTTCATGACGCGCACTAGGGTTGGAGTGAAGTTCACACTGTGTGGAGGATATCAACTGCAACATACGCTGTGCTGGATGGTTCGCGAATAAAGACAACATGAATTGAAGCTTTGAGTTCTCGATCTACCTTGAGATTTGTTGTGTTCAATACGTCCACTTCTAAGAATTAGAACGAATTGCAGTCCGAATTGCACTTTTCAGGATTTAGGATGAGCAAGTGAATATGTCACGAAGAAACAACGGAGAGCAAGCGCTTTTTGCGGCATAAGGAGGGTGGAGCCTTCACCTCGAATGAACCACGATAGAAAAGTAAATGCCAAATAGCTAATGCGCCTGTAAAATAGTGTAAGTTTATCCTCATTCGCTTAAATTTAAAACTGCAGAAGTAAAATAAAGTAGATGCTACAGAAAGACAAATTACAAGTAACGTTGCTTTTGGTATATCTTTTGCTTATTGTTCCGTTCGACTCAACAAATTCCCCCAAAATACGACCGGCATTTCGAGAAAACATTTCACCCTATAACAGGGTTCCATTTTTTTTAGGTAACTTCTTGAACTGGCGAATACACAGAAACAGCTACACCATCTAGTCAGCTAATTTAATCAGTTTGACACTACCTAATGAACTAATAAAACCAAATACGTAGAGCCACTCTTTCTCGACTTACCCTTTCTTGATTTCAAGTCGGTCGGGGCGCAGGCAGCAGTGCGGAAAGCAAGACCTGACAAGGAGCCACTCGCTGCTTCTTGTTTGGAGAAAAGACCCTCCTGTGCGAACGATGAAAAAAAAAAAAAAAAAAGGAATAATGAAGAAACGACGCATACGCCCTCTCCTACATTTCGATCCTTCAGAACGAGCTTGACGACAACAAAGGCCCCTGGAAGGCCAGCAATGCCACCGTGCTAGATTAGGCCTAATCCACCCCACTGCACGCTCCGCATCCTGGTGCGATCCGTTCATCCCCAAGCTGAAAGTGCGGTGGGAGCTATGCACTTCGTGGACCAATCATAGGTCCATCTTTCGCCACGTGATCAGACCCCCGCCCCCATACCCACGCGGAAAGGGAGATCGGGTGATTAGTCCGGCGCGAGCTCGTAGCTTCCACCGCACTGTCAGCGTAGGGGGTCCTCTTAGTAGAACGCACCAAAAATACCCTGATGAGGGTCAAAAGGGTTCTGACGGTTCTGCGCCATTTTAACCACGATGACAGTGGAGTGGGACCCGTGCGCTCTCCAAACCAACCGGCCTCGAATGGCTTTTTTTTTCTTTTTTTGCCAATGGCGCGTAGCATGGCGTAGCCTTTGGCCCACTGTCAACCTAGGGGAGGAAAGGATACTTGCTTGGCTTTAGCTGGTGGGATAAACTAACTTTCGGGAATCTGAAGGTGACCGGTGTGGCTGCAGTGGCTCGTATTTGTGTTGTGTTGGTTTTCTTTTTCCGTGAAAGACCCGTATAATCGCCGGTCCTGGCCTGCTTATTATTATTTTTTTACGAATGACAAAAAAAAAAAAAAAAAGCGCACGTGGAGCGAAAGTTTGCTATGCAGACTCAAAATATCAGTTATTTTTTTATTAATTTTTTTTTACAGGTTGTTTTTACGTAGGAAGCAGATAAAGTCGGTGATGCATGACATGGCCTTTGTTGGGCATAGCGTTTTTTCTTTTCACTTCCGTCAGCACTGCTGGCGGCTCAATTCTTCCCTTTTCCCGCTGTTCTTTTTTTTTTTATTGTGCATGTATTTGCCCGAGGACATTGAGAAAGCATAGTATCACATTTAAAACGAAATTGAAGTTTATTTGACATATGAAATGTCGGGGAGGGAGGAGCAAAAGGTTGCCGAAGCTACCTGACGAGGCTCCATTTCCCCTTTCGGCGCTAAGTCATAATAAAATTCAAGGTGAAAATATTTTCACAGAGACTGTTTTGACATAAATTAAACGCAAACAAAACAGAAAGTGAACACAAACCAAACACAAACCAGACACAAACTGGGATGATTTGCCTTAAATCGATTCATAAATGAATGCATAAAATAGTAATCATCTGAATTTGGAGAGCAAAAAACAGCGGCCCAATATTTAAGCCGAGAGCGTAAAAATGTACTCTTTTATTTCCTTTTTAAAGCTCTGCAAAGAAGAACAGCGATTTATAAAATCTAATACTTCTGAAAATTTGTTTAAATATTCCGGAATCAAAAAGCTCAATTTCTGTGACCCGCGAATTCTCTCCTGAAGGAATAACTCATGCCGTAAATTATATGTCGTAATTTTCCTTGGATATATATCTAGAGACGAGGACCCGCCGTTTTTTATCTTTTTATAAATTAACAAGGCTAATTTGAAGTTATATTGTTGCTGAATTGTAAAAACCTTGTGTTTGGAGAAAGAAAGAGCGGTGTGAGCGCAAAAATCTAAATTGTCTAAGCATCGAATCGCTTTCTTTTGTAAAACAAGCCACCTGTTAAAATTCGTAGTTCCTGTTGTACCCCAGATAAGTAGACAATAGTTTAGGTGAGAGTATATCAATACGCAATATAATTGACGTTTTAACCAACATGGAAGAAGCAATCTAAGCCTGCGTAATATGCCAATAGATTGGCAAAATTTCGAGCAGAGGTGTTCAACATGGCGCGACCAAGTCAAGCTTTCATCAAACCAGACACCAAGAAATTTATGTGAGCTTACGTTTTCGATAATAGTTCCTTCAAATGTGATACTCATGTTATAACTAACCGGTTTATTTTTCGGTTTAAAAATAATATATTTTGTTTTACCAGTGTTAAGCTGAAGTTTATTAGACCGCAACCATAGTGATAAATTGTTTAGCCACTCATTCGACAAAAATTCTAGTTCCATCAAGTTCAAATGAGAAAAAAATACATTTGTATCGTCTGCGTACATGATAATGTCGGGTGTTTGTGGCAGATTAACAATGTCATTTATGTAGAGAAGAAATAACAGGGGACCTAAGATAGATCCCTGAGGTACACCATACTCAATAGGCTCAAGCCTGGACTGCACTCCGTTTATTACCGTATACTGTGACCGTTCTGTTAGATAACTTCGAATTAGCTCCAACGCTGTACCTCTTATACCGTATTTTGGCAATTTTTTTTAAATAATATCATGCTTAATCGAGTCAAAAGCTTTTCTAAAATCTAAAAAAATTCCGAGCGTAAAGATTTTATTTTCAATATTGCTGATTATCTTATCTTTTACTTTCAATAACGCCATTTCGGTTGATTTGTCCTTTTGAAACCCATATTGCTGGTTTACGATCAGAGTATAGGCTGTAAGGAAGCTGGTAAGTCTTGCGTTTACAAGTCTCTCTAATATTTTTGAAAACAATGGTAAAATCGATATTGGTCGATAATTATTTAGATTATTTGGTGCTCCCCCTTTATGCACAACGCACACCCTAGCAATTTTCATTCTCTCTGGGAAAATGGCTTTGCTTAATACGGCGTTAAAAATGTGAGCGAGAGGCGCTGAAATTAAGTTAGACACCGCTTTAATCGGTTCAGCTTTTATTTCATCCTCGCCTGCTGCGGTACTGTTAGCCAAAGCATTGATCGTAGTAAATATTTCCTCCTCACATGTAGGAGAAAGAAAAATTGAGGCAGGTACATTTTTGCTTACGTGAGATTCCGCTCCATCGTGGTCCATCGAGAATGGTGATGTACCAGAGGCTACAAAGTGGGAATTAAACTTATTTGCTAATGATTCACCGGAGAACAGGACACCATCAATTGTTAATTGGTCCGGAAATCTATGTACATCTTTCGAGCTAAAGCTTGATACTGTATCCCAAATCTTCTTCGGATTGCCTTGAATGCTCAAAAACTTATATGCTTAATATTCCAGTCGTGCTTTCTTAATCTCACAATTAACCTTATTTCTCACCCTTTTATACTCTGCCAGAACACATTTGTCTCTGTTCTTAATGAATCTGTCGTATAACTTGTTACGGTCACTAATCCGTTTATAGAG